TATATATGTATCCAAGATTTAATGGTATTTATTCAAGGATCTAGGAAACCTGACCTCTCATTTTTAAACTACTGAATGTTATATTTTATTTTCTATACTGTTTGTAAATTTTTAATGATTATACAGAAATTTATAGCACCAAAATAACCTTATTATTCAGCTAAAACTTTATAGATATATTATATCCATTGACAGCTGTTTCTAAAAGATATTACTTGATCTGAATCAAAAAAAAATTGGATTAGGAAAGACCTGCAAAGAATTGTGCAATGCCAGAAATTAGCTTGGCAACTTAGCTATGCCTCTTTTCTTCAATTCATATTAATCTTGGAATCTCATCAGATCAACAATGTCATCAACTGCATTACTTACAAGTGGAAAATGTGTTTTAAAATTTGGAAATTTTGTGGATGTGATCATCTTGGATTAATATAACAGTAAATATCCAACTTATCAGACTTTCCTTTTTCAACTTATTTATTTACAGTTTTTATTTTGTCACAATATGTTAAAAATCAATATATAACTCATAACTATCATAATTGTTTGACTGTATCTGTCATCTTCTTACTTTCAATACTGTAACAAAAAGCTACTTCCATATCAAAATCAACTGTACCGGAACTGAATTTATCAAATAGATATCAAAATATCTTTCATTGTTAAATTCAATATTTTTAATATGACTTTGCACTATTCAAAACAATTATGATTCATTTTCTTTAATTTTTCTTGTCAATCATCACATGTCCAGCTCACATGGTTACTGAAAATAGAAATGATGAAATCTTTCATCCAGTTGCAACTATGTCATGTCAATTTTATTTCAAGTTGAATCATCAATATCTTTTTGAAACTCTTTGTGTTACCCTGCTCGTATGGTTTGTTGATGTGTGTTTTTATCTTGTCATTGTGTGTGTTATGTAAATGAAAAACAAAGTGCGTGTGGTTTCATCTACCATCCTATACCTGGTAACTTTAATCTTCAGGTAAAGTTTAGCATCACCTCACTAATCTCTGACACTCACAAGAACCAACCAGAATACACCTTCATGTTTGTGACAGTTCAATAAAGTAGAAGAGTTTAATCCAATGAAATTATCTAAGAGTGACTATGGACAAGAAATGGTGGCTCGGTGATTAAAAATAGTCTAAAAATAGGTGTGTGTTTGGTTAGGAGTAATATTACGTATCAGGATATTTCTGTATTTGTTATGAAGACATTATAATATAAAATATAATTGTGTCCGACACGTATTGTAGAATATAAGATGAATGTATTATAAAATCCTGTAATGTTTGTAGACTAGTGTTTATTGTACTATTTGTGCTTTTATATTAAACGGATAATAATGACATCTTACTGTGAAATATGTGTCTTTTCTTTAGAATTGCTTTTGTAAAAAGAATTTTTCTGTTTGAAGACTTAGAGCACCAAGTTTTGGAAAGTAAATATTCAGACAATAATATCATATAGTGAGAACAAACATCAAAATGTGACACTGTTTGTTTCCGTTTTGTTATTAGACAATAGTTTTTTGAAGTAAACAAAACATTTAAAAACTATTAAGACGCCAGTGGTTTCTGAACACACTATCGGGGACTTTCCAAGAATTTTGTTGGAGAAAAATGAAATACCAACAGCTTTTTTAGTCATTGTTTCTTTTGTATTTTGAACAATGGATGATAGAATGAAGAAACACAATAGTCATTTACCAGGACATAAAATGTAAGGAAATAAATGAAATTAGACAAAATAATTGAGAAAGTTGGAAGTTGAAGAAATTTCCTTAAGCTTAAATACATACTGTTTAGGATTGTTATGGATAGTTTTATTGTAGTTGTAAGTTAGAGATTTTTTATTAATTAATAAATTTCAATGATTGAAATTTAAATTTATGTTATGATTGAACAATAAACTGTTCACTTTTCACAGTATATTGCCTGAATTTTATATGTAGATCAGTATTATTTCCAATTATTCACAACTAAGTTAGTAATACTTATGGTATTATTGATTGTGTATTTTAACATTGTCATTACTTTGCCAAAATATGATTCAAGGTTACTTTTTGACATTTTACATTTTTTATGTGAACTTTTCCCAGATTAATCATAATATTTAAGGTATTTTTGTGAACTTTTGAAAGTTTGTGTTGTAATATATATACTAGCTACCGGGAGACTCATACTTTCAAAAAAGATGTCAATGTTAAATTTGGAGATTTACATTAAACTGTATTAAACCATAAGATAAGGGTTTGAGATGTTTGAATCTGAAGTCTGATTTGGAATAACTTTTGGATGCTTGTGGTCTTGGAATGTAATAATCATTTATGATCAATCCTTTGCCTATATATTAGACTATTATTTTTCTAGACTGTTTCTCTCAGTTATTTAGGATATCCTTAAAGACAATAGTTTTATTTTTTGGAAGTTTCAGATTGTATGTAAAAAATATGATTGAAAGATGACCCTGTAATTATTATACCAGTATTATATAGACACAGCTTTATTGAACATCAATCACTGGTTAAAGTTTTATGCAACGTTTCGACGTGTTTCCCCCGTCGTCCTCAGGGGAAAGTACGTCGAAACGTTGCATATAACTTTAACCAGTGATGGTTGTTGCATAAGGCTGTGTCTATATATCGTACTCACAATTGCTTAATGCCATTCAAAGACTTTATTATATATAGCTTGTGTGGATTGAACTTTTCACAATAGAAGATTTTTTTTCCAGCCTTCTTATGTCATATGACCTATAAGTATAAAATGGAATGATTTTAAGAAATAATGAATGATAATCTTATTTCATTAAGTTATTGATGTCAATGATATTAATAAAAGGGACCCAAATTTTAATAGATATTTTACCATTCTTAACCAGAAATAGAATAAAGATATATTTTTCTCTTTGAATTCAATTTTATGAAATTATCATATTGTTTGTTTGTTTGAAATGATTGTGGTTAAAAGGATTAGGGTTGGAAATGATTGTGGTTAAGAGGATTAGGATTTGTAATGATTGTGGTTAAGAGAATTAGGATTTGTAATGATTGTGGTTAAGAGGATTAATATTTGTAATGATGAACTTATGATTTGTAATGATTGTGGTTAAGAGAATTAGGATTTGTACTGATTGTGGTTAAGAGAATTAGGGTTTGTAATGATTGTGGTTTAGAGAATTAGGGTTTGTAATGATTGTGGTTAAGAGAATTAGGGTTTGTAATGATTGTGGTTAAGAGAATTATGGTTTGAAATGATTGTGGTTAAGAGGATTGATATTTGTAATAATGAACTTATGGTTAGAAATGATTGTGGTTAAAAGGATAAGGGATGGAAATGATTGTGGTTAAGAGGATTAGGATTTGTAATGATTGTGGTTAAGAGGATTAATATTTGTAATGATGAACTTATGATTTGTAATGATTGTGGTTAAGAGAATTAGGATTTGTAATGATTGTGGTTAAGAGAATTAGGATTTGTAATGATACTTGAGGTTTGTAATGATTGTGGTTAAGAGAATTAGGATTTGTAATGATACTTGAGGTTTGTAATGATTGTGGTTAAGAGAATTGGGATTTGTAATGATTGTGGTTAAGAGAATTAGGATTTGTAATTATACTTTAGATTTGTAATGATTGTGGTTAAGAGGATTAGGATTTGTAATGATACTTGAGGTTTGTAATGATTGTGGTTAAGAGAATTAGGATTTGTAATTATACTTGAGATTTGTAATTATTGTGGTTAAGAGGATTAGGATTTGTAATGATACTTGAGGTTTGTAATGATTGTGGTTAAGAGAATTAGGATTTGTAATGATTGTGGTTAAGAGAATTAGGATTTGTAATTATACTTGAGATTTGTAATGATTGTGGTTAAGAGGATTATGATTTGTAATGATACTTGAGGTTTGTAATGATTGTATAACCAATATATTATATATAATACTAGTGTGAATAATGTCAGTGTCATTAGGTTTAAAACCTCAAGTAGATAAAAGAGTAAATAGTTTACATTTAGGGTGTATGGTGTCATTAACATTGACTTGTAATATACTGACCCTACCCTGTCACTACCCCTCGCTTGATCCAAGTTAAAAAGGTACTTTCTTTGTGGGTGGTAAGATTGTGGTATGTTTTTTATGACTTAACATGGGTATGATACAAACTGACTTTGTGTTGATTGTATAATGACATTTGTTTGTAACATTCTTACAATATATACCTTTTGAAGTACAATATTTTTCTTTTGATTTTTCAATGTCATAATAGGAAGTATATTATGAAATTTGTCAGTAAGCTATGAAACAAAATTTCCTGCCCTGCTCTATCCTATTATCAGTACTAAAAAAAAAATCAGAAATTATTAGCATTACAATGTGGGATGGAATTTAACTCAGAAATAAAGGTTGACAATGTTATTTTATTATATTAGAATTTCTTTCTTGTATTTCAGTGAATATCAACGTAAGAAGTTGAAATAGAATGTCACATAAACGTGGGCGTATTTCCAAGTCACATGAGGTATGTACTTCATTAAGGTATTCACTTCATCTTTTGACTAGAGCACTCTACTGCCAATTAAATGAAAATTGATTTATGGAGATAAAATTCATTTATTCATAAGATCTATGAGAAAAAGTAAAACTAGAGCCACTCGTGGCACAGAGTGGGACTTTGCAAATGTAGCAAATTGCAAAAGACCCCGAAAAAATCATCCTTCCATGATAATTAGATCAATCGCAAGAACAGTCTAAAGTTGAGAAATTTTCATTTATTAGAAGATTCTAATACCGGAAGTAGACGTCAGACCTCACAAATGAAAGTATCAGCAGATAGCCAAGGTCAATGACCTTTGATCTTGTAAAAGAGAAAGTCTAAAAAGGTCAAGATCAAGAGATATACATCATCAAAATTTCAAATTGCACACGACTATAAAACCGGAAGTTGACATAGGACAGCAAATATGAAAGTACAAATAGATAGCCAATGCCAATGACGTTTGATCCTACAAAGGTCAAGGTCAAAAATTGAAAATTTTCAATTTCCAAAACCTGTTCCTTTTTTTGAACTAAGAAGCGGAAACAACCGAAATTCTAAGACAAAGTGGCTCACAATATGAGGTAATTGTATGCAAAGTTCCATTTTGAACAAATGTATACTTTGCGAGTTATGTCCCTGGCCAAAAATGTCAATAATGAGTAATTAAACCCGG